GAAGCTCTTGTAGATTTCATGCACTTTTTATTACCTGCTGGTAGCTTCTACTCCCTGCTTCATGCGTATTATGAAAATCCAGGTGTTAGCAGAACGCAAGCAGAAAATTCAATCAGAGGTGAAAGAGATACGCAAGGTGTTTTATTGTGATCTTTGCAACAAGCAATACAAATTGGCAATGGAATTTACGGCCCCCTTGAGCTCGCATGTGTTGGGTTAGGCCTATCCCTCCTATGTGGAGAAATGGCCAATATTTGTGGACTAAGCCCACACTTGTTAAGCCCACTTGAAGCCACATTTTGCAGCCCTTTAAGACAAAGAAAGGAGTCTGATTTGGACAGCAGCAGAAAGTGGAGAACACGTGAGGGACCAGCCGGCAGAAAAGGGAAAAGAAAGCAAGGGAGAATTCTGTAGATTGGTACAGTGCACAGTTTTGCAATTTTGTCCACGAAAGTTCACTGTTGGATTGAGCTGGAATTTGGTTTGGGGGTTCAAAAGACACTAATCTACATTCTGAATAGTTAGTTTTTCGTTTAAAGCTCTGTAGGTTCAGTTTTCGTGCCCTGAACAATAGCTCATGTTTTGGTGCTCTGTTTTTCTGGTGGTACCTTTTACTTTGTTGGCTTGTGGCCTATTGTTCCTCTTATTTAGTGCTGTTTTTATGCCCTTTTGGAAGAGGATATTGTGTACTCACTTTTATTATAGTGGAGCTATTTTTGTGGACTGGATATCCCATGATTTTTACCCTTTTTTGGGGTTTTTCATGTAAAAATATTGCGTCCCTTGTGATGGTTGGTTTGCCTTCGCCATTTCTATTTTCTCCATATTTTACAGCTGCTACCATATTATTTTTAGACTCAATTTAGCTTACTCCTAACAATTTCAAATAGATTTGGAAAGATTTTGGTATTGCTTTTATTTCAGTTGTGCTTAGGCTTCACCCCGGTTGTTCCCAACAGCATGATCACAACCACAGGTGCTTTTTCCTTAACTAATTGTTCTTGGTACATTTTCTTACATTGGTCTAAATCTGAAATGCTGTTTGATGAGGCTTCCAGCGGTTTAAAGAAATGAGAGACATGCATAGTAGTAGCAGTCGTGATGATTGACATTTAAGAGAACAGCGACATTAAGCGAGGGAGATGGCTAAGTTTGCACTAATGTAATCTATTAACTGATCTTTCCTTTGCATTTATGGTTTTTGGTTCAACATTCATTTTCCTCTCTTACATACATTTTCAGTGGGGATGTTGTAGGAATATTAATCATATCTTTGGCGTCCATTCCATGTCCTTTATTTTTGTTTATTTCTTACATCCATATAAGGCTGGTGATCATAAACAGCAACAATAGCAACGAAATGATTCTGTGTCTGCTCTTGCATCTACTCCTTTAACTGCTACTCCATTCACTGATCAAGATCAAGGGAGGAAGACACTAAGGTGTGGTTTTTCTTCTAAAGGAAGCACCTCTGAGGTACACAAAACTGAGTTTAACAAAGTTTGTCTAATTGTGGTTTTATCATCCATGGAATGCAAGGAAAAATTTTAACTAGCTATCTGGGATAATTCTGATCCACTGGTTGCACCTCTCTTGACATTCTTGTAGCAACATAATTTATATAATGTCCAACCCTTTCCGGCATAAATTATATACCTAAGAACTTTCTAATCCTTAACTTCTAACAACTAGTTCATTACCTAATGAAAATCCATTACTAATTCATTGTTTAAGTAGTGTCAGTTTTTGTCTTAAGTGATAACAAGAATGTGGTAATTACAGATTGGTTTCATTGATGTTGTTGATAGATGATTTTGGATGGCATATAATCCATAGGCAGCTGAAAATTTGCAACCTGAAGAATCTGCCATCCAATGCAATTTATTGATTTCAATGGATCATGATTGATGAGCATGACTCATGACTCCCTTTGACTTGCTTCTCACTCATGTCGCAGAGCACATTTGGCAGGGCTGCAAGGAAACCAAAAATAGTAGTTGCACCTATTTTCAGAAAGGACAGTGATTGATATATACTCCAATTTAATATATTGTATATTACATTTATTGAAAAATCATTATTTTCTAATTTGAAATTAAAGATAAACAAATTTAAAGGTGCAACCATGTACACAAAACGTAAAAACTGACTGAATCAACTATGCTTATATTATATTTTTAATAGCTGAACTAGACAAGTGTTAAAAATATGTTGAATCAAGTGTCTACCAATTATTTTCATTTTGGAAATGATAGTGATAAGGAACAATGAAAAATACCACTTGTAGTTGAGCAACACAACAGCTTTGTATCTACAATAACTGTTTTTGATCTTATTCTTGTCCTCAAGGTTCCTAATTGTAGTTCCCAATTATATACTTTAAAAAAATATATTTTAGATTTTGCTATCAAATGAAAACTTAAACCAATTTATTGTTTATGCAAATGGATTATGTTGGTTTGGCATTTTGAGGATGTTAGATAGTTTATAACTGGCCAAAGTATTGTTTTAGTCAAGTCACCTTAATTAAGTTTGACATAAATTCCCCCAAAAATTAAGTTGTGTTGAGTTAATTTTATTTCATTAAGAGCCCTAGTTAGTTAAAGAAATAGAATGATAAAAATTAAGTATTGCCCCATAGAAATATAGATTAATTAAATATCAAAATTAAGTAATTTTAATTTTATTTAAACAATTAAATAAAATTGATCAGGTTGATTCACCGAGGGCAAGCCTTTCACCATTCTTCTGCTAGCCATAGCTTTAAGTCCTCCAAAGTTCATATGCCCAACTCTCAAATGCCATAGCCATGAAGAATCTTTGCAACAAGACGTTAAGCATTTAGCTACATCTGTATGTATGTTCATAGCAAACATACGATTCTTTGACATTAGGACTTTGGCAATCAAGTTTTTTGCACAATCTTTCAAGTACAAACTGCAACCTTTTGTGAATAAAGCATGTCCCTTTTCTAATAGTTGGCCCACACTCAAAATATTACTCTTCATGTCTGGTGCATAATAAGCATTTGAAATAAATTGATGATTTCCATCCTTCATGCGTATTAGAATTTTACCTTTACCCCTTATTGGTTTTTTGGAGAAGTCTCCAAGGGTGATGTTGCCACCAACTTTCTCATCAAGCTCCACAAATAATTCTTTGTTTTTGCAAATGTGGTTGCTTGCTCCAATATCAAGGTACCAAGAGTGCTTGTCTTCATTCTTCATCTCTTTGCAGGCCAACAAGAGAGTTGTCTCCACCTCTTCATTAACTTCTTTATCTTCGTCTTAAGAGAAATTGGCTTTCACATTGTTGCCAAATCTGCATTCCCATGAATAATGCCCAAATTTTTTACAAGTGTAGCACTGAATTTGGGATTTGTCATGGCTCTTTTGATATGGCCTTGATCCTTCTCTACCACGGCCTCTCAAAGAGGTGAACTGAGAATTTTCATCTTTGCTTTGATCAGTGTTTTGGGCACTTCTTCCTCCTCTTCCAAGTCCTTGACCACGACCGTGTCCACAACCTCAACCTCGTCCTCCTTAACTTGCACCTCCTTTTTGTTCTTTATCACCCAAAGAAAGTTTGACTGTAGAACCTGCTCCCCGAGCTCTTTCTTTCTTCTATTGAGCTTCTCCTCATATGCTTCAAGTGAACCACTTAACTCCTCAACAGTCATGCCTTCCAAGTCTTTTGATTCTTCAATGGCGGTCACCACATAATCAAATTTCTCTATGA